CCTGTTACAATTGACTCCACTCTCCCCTATACATTTAAAAACAGTTTTCAGAATTTTTGGTAATTTTGAAAATTTTAAAAGCCTACAACGAAAGAACAGGAACAAAGTGGCGTTGCATATCATCATCATCAAAATTTATCTGGGCGCCTGGGGCCATTAGCGGCCTTTTTCCCATTCGTCTTGAATTGTGATCTTTAAGGGTGGTTCTTTCTGGTAATTGGAATGCAATTGGAGTAAAAGGAAATTAAATATTTTGTATTTTAGATAAAATTACGTCACTACAAAAATAAGCTGCCATCAGCCTGAGGTTTATGTCTTCTTTTAAGCTTTCAAAAGTAAAAATTTTATTGAATTCTGTAGTGTCACAATCTCATCTCATCTCACATGTGGTGGTTATCTTAGCATCAGCCCCGCCAGGGGCTCTAACTAATTCATCTGAGTGGGAATAAATGGTAAAAAATCATTCCAATAATAATCATTTTCTCAGTGTGGTTATTCAAGGTAGTGACTTTACAGAAAAATTTAAAAACTGGTTGAAAAGAGTTAAGAAACAAGGTGTTTTAACACGTTGAATGCCACGCTAATTTTACACGACTTACCCATCTGGCCAAAATGATTTTCTCAGTATGTATTGCATTAATTCCTTCAAACCATTTTAGTAACGATAATAATATACAAAATTAAAAGCATTCAAAAGTTACTCGAATTATGTGTTTCTAATAGTCTCGGCTTCACCGGTCAACGGCGACCCTTGTGGTGCTACGAACAAACTCAGTGCCGGTCACCGGTGACCCCAATGGCATTCACCGTCTTAACTACTAATTCTCGACCAATAATATTTGTTAAGTTTGTGTTACCAATCGAATTCCTAAAATTGAGGTGAAATTAAAACCTATAAAATTTACGATTATCTCATAATCATTGTAGTTCAGTAGGGTATTTTTCCAGACTTGGGCCATCCTGCAATTTATTCCTAACCTGTATTAACATGGAAATGCAAATTTTCAATCTTGTATCAATGGAAATGCAAATTTTCTGTGCATTTCGTTTTTAATAATCTTAATGATTGATTGTTTTTGGCTCTCTTCAATCAAAAAAACATACCAGGAAAGAAAACCATTTCTAATTTGGAATAAAATAAGGTTCAATATCATGGGATGCCGACTTGTTTGTAGGCTTATTTTTTCCAGCCGTATCAAAATTTAATGTGTTCAGACTTAGAGTAATTCATCAAACAGCTAAATATAAATAATTTAAAAGTTCATGTAAACCACCACTTTATTTTCATTTTATTTTATAACAGTCGTTGAACAGCCGACCCAATTTCTGAATTGAAGACTACGAATGTTCAACTCCGTAACCTTGCAATTTTGAACCCAATCCAGAAGACAATGGAACTTCTGGATCAAGTATTGGGTGAAAATTGCCTTTGTGAAGGACTTTTTGGATAGAACTAACTCGCATTTGCGTTAGATAGAGAGGAAAACCACGAAAACTGCCCACAGTTAGCCAAACGGCAAGGGGACTCTAACCCATGATCCGTCTACCACTGAGGGTATTTTACCACAGCATTGTGGTAGGTGCAAGCCGGATGCGGAATTCCTATCGACCAGCCATCGCTGGGATTCAAACCCGAAGGTAAACGCTCTACCCCCTGAGCCATCACGGCTCAAACCACTACATATAAGTAATTTAAAAGCTCATATAAACCACAACTTTAGTCCATTTATTAGGGGGCCTCCCTGGCCGAGCGGTATCTCCCACAAAATGCTGTGCACAGCGTGGAGGTAGCAGGTTCGAATCCCGCCGTTACCCGGATGTATCTTCATACTGTCCTTCTCTGTATTGCGTAATCCGTCCTTCTATTTGACAAAGGCTTATAAGTCTAAATTGATTTCACAAGCTTGCGAATGTATGTAATTTCTATAACTCAATAAACTCCCTTTATTTGCAGAAGATAAAAGCAGGCGCGCATTCTCTTCATACTCAACTCAACTCCATTTATTTTGTGATAGACATTTTAAGTTAAGTGATCAGCGTCCTAAATCAGTTGGTCCAGAAAATTATTCAACAAACCTGTGAAATTTCTAAAAGAATATTGAAAAATTAACCGTTGTTAATTCTCTACCATTTCAGAAAATCTTTTACGGTAAAAGAAGCCTCCCTGTGGTTCTTAAAAATTTCAAAAATTGGTGTGAATATTGAAGTTAAAGAGCCACAAATGTCTGTTAATTGCTTTTCTCTTCAAAACATAAACTACATTTATTTAGGAATAGTAAGTGTTGTGTTCAATAAGCACTTATTAAAATTCACTTTATTTTTTTTAATTTTGCTCAGTCTTATTTTTAAGTTTTATAAACAACGTATGATTGTGAGTTCCATATAAATATAGGAAATCTCACACAACCGCAATTATCAAAAAAGTAAAGTGTAGCACTTCTTTAATTTTTCATTATATTCCATTTACACACCGGAGTTTCGATTGGAAAATTTCTAAGAATAAATTAAAGGACATTTTTTAAATTGATGGCTTGTCAGTACGAATTCCGCATCCGGCCTGCACCGACCACTGTACAGACGTGAAGTATATTCGGTGGTAGACGGATCATTGGTTAGAATCCCTTTTCCGTCAGGCTAACCGTGGTTGGTTCTCGCGGTCTTCCGCAATGAGGGTCAGTTCCATCAAAAAGTCCTCAACGAAAGCAAATTTTTCCCAATACTAGATCCAGGAGTTCCCTTGTTTTCTGAATTGGGTTCAAAATTACAAGGGTACGTAATTGAACATTAGTAGTCGTAAACCCAAAAATTGGGTCGACTGTTCAACGATGGTTATGAAATAAAATAAATTTGGATGCAATGTATTCTACGAGGCATTTTACTGATACTGGGACATCTAAGATATTTGTGATTGCTAAACTGTGATTTGTTGCTTCCGGGTCCTGACAATGGATTAGCAAAGACCGTTATTTTGAAAGCATGTGCTTTTTATTCTTTCATTCGGTACAGAAGAAATTAAGGGTGCTTTAACACTTTCATGTCCGGTGACAACAACGTGTTGTCCCGTGAAAACCAAACGTTAGCTGCCGGTGACAACACGTTGGTGTCATGTCCAAGCCAAACGTTAGTGGCCGGTGACAACACATAGATGTCGCGCTTTGCAACCTGATATTCATGTGACATTTTGTCAAGGGACGATAGAGTACAGGGATGCCAACTGCTCCACTTTCTGGAATAGTTTTAATAAAGTGGTAGCAAATTATATAGTAAAATTCGTTAAAGAATGATAGTTACGCCTACTTTTTAATATAGTAACCAGTAGTTTGATGCTTTACCGTTGCATTTTATATCATACTTATAATTTTTGATATTTAGTGGTGAAAAAGTTACTTATAATGAAAAATACTAAACTAAAAGTATCTTAAATTTCGCTACCACTAGTAAATACTATTTTACAAAGCGGAGAAAGTTACACGGGACCGGTTACATGGTAAACTTATCACTAAATATATGCGGACCGCATAATGTTAAGATTTGGAGAATCGGAAAGTTCTAGAGAATAGCGAAAAATTTATCCTTGGCTTCAATGATGAACCAAAAATCAGTTGTGCCATTATTTTTGGTATGAGATAGGATATTTTTTCTGTGGTAATGTGTGGTGAACCTAAAGGGCTGATTATTTTGGCAAGGAGGCCCCTAAAAAGTAAAGAGTCAAACTGGCATACCTGTGTCTTGGTATTCCAAAACAAAAAGAGAAAATCCCTATTTATCTAGTCGCAAGTAATCCGTGGGTGCTACTTGATACCAAGTTGGCATTTTGCCTAAAGCCAGCACACCAATACTTAAAATTATTCATGTATGCTAAACATTCAAAATTAATCACAGCAACTCCACTGCGGTTTGTATTAAATAAATTTTTACTAAATTATTAATACAGATTCCCAAAAAAGGCAACTCTATATGGATACAGATAGAAATAATGCATATAAATTGTTAAATAGAAACAAAATAAAATGGTAGAAAGAAATAAGGCTGGTGTAGCTGTAGTATGTAGCAGATAGAAATGGGATAGGTAAAAGGTAGAAGTAGCAGATAGAAATGGGGTATGTATAGTTATAAATAAAAATAATATAAATACACGAGTAGATAGAAATAATTATCATTAAGCGGTAGGTGAGAATTAGATATAGCATCAGAGAGAAATAAAACAGATTAAGTGCTGTTCGGATTGACGTACGTGTGCAAAAAATAAGCGTTTGCATACTTTTAGCTGCTAATTCTCAAGACAACTTTCCTCATATCGCCTACATGATGAATTTCTATCAATATTATGTGTACAACCATCACCTACTACATCAGAAAACCTCCACACGGGATTTTATAAGTAGACTGCGCAGAGTATTTAAAAAGCGAACCAGTTGTGGACATGAACGCAAATTCTATTTTAATCCTATCAAATAAATTTATCATTATTATATTGAGAAATAATAATGATAAATTTCTCTGAATATAGTAATGATATAATAATGATAAATCAGAGAAATTTATCATTATTATTTCATTATTATATTGATATATTTGAGAATAGAATCTGTAGTGGTTGACAAGTAAATAAGACAAACCAATCATATTCATAAATTAAAATTTTTTAGACTTATATTTGCTACCACTTTCTAATTTATAATAGATTTTCTATTAAATGGCTCTTTTTTTTAATTGGCTTACTTTCATAGTGGTCTGATCGGACTACCTATAAAAAACCGTGTGGAGGCTTTCAATTATAGGAGGCGTTGGTATAACTCAAGTAGTTTCACTTAAACTGAGGAACTTTTAACGATAATTGTTTTTGATAATTTAAATGCTAAAAACAATGCTTGAAGGAAATCCCTCGGCGAATTTTGTGAGTTTATCTTCGAACTGTTTTCTTGTTTAAAGAACAAGCTTCGTTGCGACAATCACAATGATACCCCCCCCCCTGATCCAATTAGTTTCCACTATCTTACCTCTGAAGACTCTCTTTTTTTCCTGTCTAAACTGTCTCTTCCATTTCTGTCACCTCGCTGACCAAGTCTTGGAGAAGCTTGTCCATTCAAAGTATTTTGCTGACAAAAGAGATCTTCAATTGTACTAAAATCCAAGTTATTTGGACTGCCATCATGAGCTTTTGCAATCAATGACCACAAATTATTTCTTCCAACAACCTAGATAAGAAATATACTTTGGATAAGTAATATAAATTTACTGAGCATTTTTTTTACAGAGGTTGAGAATATTTATCTTTCATCTGAACAATATTACTAATAATTTTCTGTCCTTGAAATTGTAAAACTAGAATTAAGAAAGATAAAATAAAAAGGATACTAAATATTTTTATATTACACATTTCTCAAATTTGGTTGAATTCATGTTTCTTTTGCAAATAATGATTAACGTATCTATCTCCAAAAATGTTTGTAAATAAATACCAACGTATATTTTTCAAATCATGCCTGTATATAATTATCATATTTCTTTGTAATACAAAATGTTTTTGATTTATCAAGCAAAGAGCTTGACTTTTTTTAAAAAGCTAGCATAAAAAAGTTACACTGCATTTTCAAATCAAGCTATTGCACATTTCACTAATTATGTTTGAATACAATGTTTCTTTTTCATTGATCAAGGTTGCAAATAATGATTAATGTATCTATCTCCAATTATGTCTGTAAATAAGTACCTATGTATATTTTCAAATCATGCCTGTATATAATAACCATCTTTAAATTGATTGTAGTACAAAATGTTTTAATTTATCAAGCAAAACGCTTGACTTTTAGAAATAGCTACCATACTGTTGCTAAAATCAAAATGTCTTTAAATCAATGTATATAATATTTCATGATGTATGGGATAGGGGCCGATGCGCGGTCCAGGTGCCCAGTTTTTGCGAAATAAAGAAAAGAAGAAATATTTTTATTATTGATGGTTGCTCTACTGATGTCCTCTTCTCCCTTGTGATGCCGGTTATGTCGAATTGATGCTGATTATCCTGAACTTTACGAGGTGAGTGATACTTATTTCGATCTCGTCAGATTCTGGAGAGATAATACTGCCAACTAGCCATTTTTGATGTCTGGATTTTGAGCCCGCCATTTTGTTTTTTCAAGTCATGCCGTATCATAAAACAGCTCGTGGTGGAAAGGTCTCACTCTCTGGTCGTAATTCACCGTCGCATTGCAGAGAATCCACGTCATTAGAAGAAATCATTGCTATCTGTGGGATATCAAAAAAATACTTTCCACCAGTTGAACACGAACATATTGACGATCTCGTAGAGTTTTACACTCAGTTTGATACAGAGGAGCTGATTCGTTTAGATAAATTACTTAGCAAACTGCTAATTCAAATAAGATCAAGTTACCCTGGAGACTACGAATACAATTACTTCCTAAAACTGACAAATGCAGCTTATCACGTCAGATGGAAGAGGAAAATTCAAGCAGAAGAAAACAAGGAGATGAATAAAAAATCCATTCAAGTCGAATCAATAATGACTGAAACTAATCCAAGCACTGGCGACATAACCATGGAAAATAAAGATGAAAACCTGAATACAACACCAAATACAGAAACTGACACGGACATCAATATCAACAATAATACAGAACCACCAGCAAAGAAAAGAAAAAAGAAGAAGAAAAA